ATGATCCTTGTGGGTCCCTTCCAACTCAGCACATTCTGTGATTCTGTAAATTGAACTAAAAGTCGTAAGTAATGTTTAGTTCTTAGTATCAGAAGAACAATGAAACCCTTTGGTTGGTTGGTTTTCCCGACTTCCTCCAAGTCCACCTCCCTCTGCCCTGTTTTTCAGGTCGGGGATGCAGAGGGTGCAGGTGCCCGTAGAGAGGGGGCCGGACCAGCAGCAGGAGGAGGAGGAGGAGCAGCAGCAGGAGCAGCAGCAGCAGCAGCAGGAGGAGGGATCCGGCACTCGCTGTCCCTCGGCAGGGCGGCAGCACCGCGGAGCGCCCGCCGGAGGAGCTGGAACGGCTGAGCACGGTACACACCCAGCACAGCTCTGCCCATCCGCACTCACCTGGGAAGGCAACAGCAGAAAAACTAATATGTTAAACCCCCAAACCAGTCCTAACGAATCTTGAAATCCTAGACCTAGATAAAAGGTTGCATCCCAGAGTTCTACTTCTCATTCCCACAGAATTTTATATTTAATAAAAAGGGTGAGCTTATTACTTAGAGCTATTATTTAAAACTGCTTTTTTTTCCCCCCTATGAGTCATCTCACCCAAACTTTTTTCCTGGCTTAAAAGTATAAAGTTTTCCTTTCTTTGTAAATAAAAACTCACAACCTCAGTTAAACTAATTTCCAGGGAAACTATTGACAGTTAATATTCTGTACAGCCGCACTCCTTGGCAACACCCTGGCTGCTCCAGTAACTCTGGAAAGGCCCACCCTGTTTAGCACTGACTACTGGCATGACATTGCCCAATTTGGCTTTCCTTCAGTCGTTTATTTGTTTTTTTGGACACATCAAGTTCAAGGACCACAAAAGCACTTACCCAGCAATAATTTAAGTTACAAGGCATCTTTCCTGCAGACTAGAGCTGTTTGTAGTGATTAAAAAATCGGATTTTAGGTGTGTATTGAATAGAGCTGGCAAGCAGCTGCTTGGGAATGTGAAAAACAGTGACATGTCAATACAATTAACATTGCAGCATGTTCTTCATCTGGTTAGACTTAGAAAGTAAACCTGCTTCAACAAATATTCTTATAAAATCATGCACTTTGCCAACTCAAAGACAGTTTCCACATTCAACTACACTACCCCTATTTCAAGTGCAAACAGCTTTCTAGCAAAAACCTTTCACACAAATAAATTGTGGGGTTATAGATTTAAAAACAGGGAAGCTGTTCCATCAAATAAAAAAGGATTAGTTAGGCTGAAAAGAAAACCACCTCAGGGAGCTCAACAAAGAAAAAAAATTGTGTGAACATCCAGGATTAAACCTAGGTATACTAGATAATTAATTAATCTAGATGCAGAATGAATTCTATTTTATATATCTCTATACACACTCTTTAATAAACATTAATTTCTTAGAGCAGAAGAGCACTTGCACCAATGGAATTAAGATCTTCTGCATTGGGCAGCTTACAGATAAATGCCTAAATATCACAAAAACAAAGTGCTCTATGATTTTACTGGCAGAATATACTGACTGTGGGGTCAGTTCTCACAACTGCCACACCGGCTGGGAGCTCTGCTTGTCATCCCTTGGAGCTCCCCTGGCAGGAAAAGAAATAGGGATAAAAAAAAGTTCACTCCTAAGGTATCACAGGTTGCAGATAAAGGCTGGCTTTGTTTTGGCTGTGCCTCACGGAGAGAAAGTACTGCTGATCCCCGAGTTCATGCAGTGCAAAGATTGCCAGGAACACACGGACATTCATTCTCTAATTAAAGAGCAACCCTGCAGGAACCAAGCTTTGTTCCTGCTCAGGCAATAAATTATTGAGCACCACAACCTATAAATTAGGCACTCTGAATGCCACTGGAATGAAAACTGCATTAACTTATGCTGAGTGTAAACCAGAACTAAAAAAGGAGAGGGAAAACGGGCCATTGTTTCCTTGTTGCTGGGAGCAGAGCCGAGCAGGATCCTGCACAGGTGGAGCTGCACTGCCCTCCCAAGGGTTCCCTGCCCCTGCAGACACCCAGCAGTCCCTCTCTTGATATTCCAGCTGCAGGTGCTGTGTCCTTGGGATGAGGCAGAACATCCTTCACCTGAGAGTCTCTGCTGGGTCCCCCCCCCACCCCTGGAGCCCTCCCTGCCTCTGCTGAACAAGCTCCACGTGCACAACACTTGTAACGCTGCCCAAGGTCAAATGTGTCTCAATATTTGAAGAAATAACAGCATTTGACTTGATCACTCTGTTAGAATTCATTAAAACTGTTCAATTAACCTGACAGTGATTAAGGTAAATAATTATAAAATTCAAAGTCATGTGGACATTGGTTTAACCTGATGTCAGCTCAAGATACACGTTCAGAATAAAGAGGTGACCAGTGCTTTTCATGTGCTAAATGTACCCAAAAATAGCCAGTAAATTACAGACATCGTAACAATTCCCTAATCCTCTTAATAGTCCCAGTAAATGTCTTCCTGCAACAAAAAGGATTTAAATGCAATGTCTTTTATAAGATACAGCTAAAAAAGCATTGACATATTATTTTAATAGTACAGGTATATTTAAATACAGTGTAGACAGTCCATTTATAATTTATTTGGCATGTGAGGAGACATTAAGTTTGGGTAAAAAGGTATAACTAAGTATTAGGTAGCTATGGGTCTAATATTACATTTTTATAATAAAGCTCCTGTCCCTAGAAAACACAATGAATATATGAATTAGAGAACATTTATGTCCAATTTTTGCCCTCTGAACATGTGCTCAACTGGCACAGTGACTGTACAAGAACAATCTTACCCAGCATGATCCTTCCTCTTTCCTCTCCAAAAGTCTATATTCAATTGTATCGCCGAGCAGTAATTGCCCCCTAACACCACACTAACCCTTTAATTTATCCTTAAATTAGAGTTACTTAGTGAAAGAAGAGAGTTGAAGTGAAATAGCTACAAGTGACCTGAAAAAGGGCACTGAGGACTCTCAAAGCGAGGTTCTTTGCTGCAGCTGCCCTGCCACTCCTTTAAAGCCACTTTCTATGGATGCTGGAGGGCCCTTCCTGGGGTTCCACTGGCGTTTTTAAACCTCCCTTCTCTCTGGCTCAGCCTCAGGTTTAAAGAGCTACAGCACATTGGGGTGGTTGGTGTGTTGCTGAGGGTTGTTGTGTCCAGCAGAGGATCAGGGTTGTTGTGTCCAACAGAGGATGAGGATGGTTGTGTCCCAGCACAGGGTGAGGGTTGTTGTGTCCAGCAGAGGATGAGGGTTGTTGTGTCCAGCAGAGGATGAGATTGTTGTGTCCCAGCAGAGGATCAGGGTGGTTGTGTCCAGCAGAGGATGAGATTTTTGTGTCCCAGCAGAGGATCAGTTGTTCCGCTCCGTGGAGGGCCAGGCTGCCTCTGATGAGGAGGAGGAGGAGAAGTGGGCAGGAGACCAAACCCCCCAGCGGGGCCACAGGAAGAAAACGCTGGCCAAGCTCCCTTGCTGTAGCAGTGGGTAAGTGTAATTCAGTAATCAGTGCTGTTTGAACCCCTTGCAAAGGCAGTGTCATGGCCTGAAGGTCCCATGGCTTCAGGCAGAAGCAGCAATGCTGTGTGGCAAAATCAAGCAGAGCCTTTTGCCCCTCCTTTGTGGTTCATGGGAACAACAATGCTGGATGCTCCTGCTGAGCCCTCTCCAGTGTCAGCTGGATGCTCTTTTGGGATCTGTGATGCCAAGAGTTCTACAGGAAAACTGGCTTTTACAACCATGGACTGAGAGGTTCACAGAACATGCTGAGCTGGAAGGGACCCCCAAGGATCATCCAGTCCAACTCCTGGCCCTGCACAGGCCTCTCCCCAAGAGTCCCCCCCTGTGCCCCAGAGGATCATCCAAAACCTCCTGCAGCTCTGGCAGCCTTGGGGCTGTGCCCACTGCCCT